AAGAGGAAGCGCGAGACGGAGTCCAAGCAGACGAAACGGACGTTCGCTGACACGAAGGCTTTCACGATTCACCAGTCGGGCGATTCGAAGTTGACCGACGACAAGGACGACTACGAGACGTTCGAGGATTGGGCGGTGCGACAGATTGGCCTCAAGAGGTGCGCCAACGAGGCGGAGGCTGCGGAGAAGTGGAAGCTCGAGATCGCCAAGCCAGGTGCGAGGGTCACCGAGAGGAGGGGACAAGTCTTGCTCGGTCGTTTCGCTGGCGTCGGGCTCACCAATCGCCATGAAGAGGGGTGCATCACTGGCTTCAAGGGATCAAACAACGTGGACTCCAAGGAGGACATGGAGGCCGCCCAGAGCCACATGGAGGACGCCCGCCTCAAGTTCAGGAAGACGAGCGAGCTGCTGAACGCCAGGGCCAAATGTGAGGCTTCCTCTGCGGGCGGCGCGAAAATCTCCCAAGTGGACTGCCCCGTGGGAGAGGAAGACCTCAACCCCAAGAACAACTCGGGCATGCAGAACGTCCAAAGGGATCTCGCCAAGAAGGCGGAGGCTCAGGCCGTGCAGGACGCGATCTTCCAGGACCAGGTGGACGAGGCCATAGTGCGTGAGGCCGAGAAGGAGTGGGCCGTCGAATCTTCCAATGTGTGCCTTCCCACTTCCCAACCTTCTCGTTGACCTCGTCGGCAGTTCGAGTCGAGGGTTGGGCGGCCTCGTCGATTCGGGGTGCTGGGCGGGAGGGGGTGGTGGTGCTGGGGGAGGGGGACAGCGGGGTCCAGGGGGGGGGGCGGAGGGCGTGCGGCGAATAGGAGGACGAGTAGGAGGGAGGGTGGAGGTGTGGAGGATGCAGGTAGGATGGAGGGTGGAGGTGGAGGTGGAGGTGGAGGGTAGAGGTGGAGGGTGGAGGGTGGAAGTAGGAGGAAGGGTGGAGGTGGAGGTGGAGAGTGGAGGGAGGAGGGAGGGTGGGGCGAATAGGAGGACGAGTAAGGGTGGTGGTGGAGGTGGAGGGTGGAGGTGATGCGCGATGCGCCCCCCATCCCCCCGAGGGTGCGAAGCGCCGGAAGCAATCTGCCGAGAGGGTCGCGTCGGTCGAGAAGCTCAACCTGGAGAGCTCCACGTCCAAGATGGCGAGCGTGCTCATGGACTCAGTGCTGAAGTACCGCCAGCAGGCGGAAGTGGTGAACCAGTGGGCTTTTGTCTTGAAGCAGGGTGGCGAGAGCGCTAAGCTCGATGATTTCGACAACGAGCTCAAGCAGAAGACGGATGATTTCACCGCGGCGGCTAAGAAGATGTCTGAACGGGCGGAAGCAATCACCAAAGAGTTCAATGACTTTGCTGGGGACGATGCCAACACCGCCGAGGCTCTCTTCAACAAGGCGGGCACGATTCCGCAGTTGACGAAGCGCTTCTTCACCGAGGATAATGCTGTGAAGGACACCAAGGACCCATGTCGGGAAGAACGGGGGGTGGCCGTTCAGGGGCTCGGGGGAAGGGCAACGACGCGGAAAGGACGAGGAGGAGGAGGGGGGGATGAGGGCCTGGGCCCGGGGAAGGATGAGGAGGAGGGGGCAGAGGAGGATGGGGACAAGGAGCAGGGGGAAGAGGAGGAGCAGGGCGAGGAAGGGAAGGAGGAGGGGGAAAGAGGAGGAGGGGGAGGACGGAAAATGAACGACGATAGGCGGGCGAAGATGAGGTGTGGCGCCGGGGCCCAGAGGGCGAATATAGCGGAGGAGAGGGTGCGAACGGAGGAGGAGGGCTTGGAGGAGGAAGTAATTGTTAAGTTTACGTTGCATCTTCGGGGGGCCTTGCATGTCCCCCAAATTGGTGTCTTTTGTTGTGCCCGACGCGGGCTCGATGCGGACTCGACGCGGATTTGGCGTGGATTCGACGCGGATTCGACGCGGATCCGACGAGGCCGACGCGGATTCGATACGGATTCGATGCGAATAGGGCAACGACAGGACAGACAAGGTCCCCCGAGGATGCAACATAGTTCAGTGCGTTTTCCATTGAGGATGCTCTGAAGAAGTTGCGCGACTACAAGGACCAGTGCGCCAAGGCTCTGAAAAAACAAGAGGCTGAGGAGGCTAAGCAGAAGGCCCGCAAGTCGGCCGTCCAAGTCGGCAGCGGCATCAGCACAGAGGCGTTGCAGGATCAGATGATGAAGGAAATCAAATCCAACGCCCACTGGGTGGCAAACAACATCAACGCCAATTGGATCGTTGACAAGGTGTTTCAGGAGCCCCCGATCCCAGCGTTCGTCCCCATGGAGCGCGTGGAGTCGGTCGTCAAGGATCTCAAGAAGATCGATTATTTCAATTCTCAGAAGAGTTGGGTCGCCGCGGCCATGAAGAAGCAGAACTTCGAGTACACGTCGGCGTGCATCGTGAAGGCAGCCGCGGTGGCGACAGTGGAAAAGGCGCTCGTCAAGTTGGGGCAGCCGATGTATCCAGGAGGCCGCACTGGCGCAGGAAAGAAAATCGTGGAGGGGTTGCAGCAGCCGACGTTCTACCAAGGCAAGACTGGCGGTGTGTATGTTGCTCCTGGCACCGACTACGGCATGATCGACGCCCGCTTGAATTTGGACGGCGCGGAGATGATCTTCTTGATCAAGAGTGAGGCCGTGGCTGGCGAGGACGTCCGCGCGAAGATAGCGGCCGTGTGTTCCATGTCGCCGAAGGACCTCGTGAAGGCTGCCACCGATCATGGATCGTACTACTACCTGACCAACGGGTCCATGGTCATTATCCCAACGGGCTTCATGGTTGTCATCATCAACACGAGCGACGACCACGCCGTGCACGGGATCCGTTGGTTGTCCATCGGGTCCAAGGTGAACGCTGCGAAGACTGTTGAGGTCTTGGAGGGCTTGACGGCATCAGACGAGAACACCGAAGCAGCGGAAGAGCTCTTGCAGGCGATCCAGGATGATATCGCCGCGGACACGTTCGCCGAGGGAGTGCCGACGGCGGCCTGAAGCCGCGAGGGTGGAGGAGGAGGAGGAGGAAGAGGAGGGTGAGGAGGAGGAGAGGGGGCTGGGGAGATACGGACCTGTTCCTTTCCACTTCCATTCAATCGCTCCTTCGGCGGACGGAGGGAGGAGGGCCGGGGGAGGGAAAGGTCAAGTTGGTTGGGAGGTGGACGATTTCTCCGAAGGGCTTAAGCGAGCCTTGTCCTCCCACTGTCCTCCTCCTCCTCCTCCTCCTCTTCCTCTTCCTCCTCCCTCCTCCTCCTCCTCCTCCTCCTCCTCCCCCTCTTCCCTCCTTCTCATCCTCCCTCCTGCTCCTCCTCCTGCTCCCTCCTCCCCCCCCTCCTCCTCCTCCTCCTCCCCCCCCTCCCTCCTCCTCCCTCTCCTCCCCCTCCTCCTCCTCCTCCTCCTCCTCCTTCCTCCTCGCCCCCCTCCTCGGGTCGCCCACGGCCTCGGGGGAAACCGTCCAGTGGGATTCGGGAGCCATTGCTTGATGTCGGTCGGCATTTTTCCAGTGGGCCACGGGCTGTGGAGCCCTCGGCGTTGAGGCCGCGCGGCCGTCGCGCGGCCGCCGCTGCCTTCGCCTCGAGGCCGCTCTGGCGCAGGCGGTTGGGACGTCGGAGTCCAAAGTGTTCTGGCCCCCCGCAGGGGCGCGAAATTGCAGCATCGCGCTTCGCGCGTCGCGGCTTTGGTACGAGAGTGGCCCGTCACCGAAGTGGCATCGCGAGGGCGCGAAGATAATCGCGCATAGCGAGGGTGCAAAGAGAATCGCGCGAGGGTTCGAAGATAATTGCGAGTCGCGTGAAACGCGTTTCTCATTACAGAGTGAGCTCGGAGTGGCGAACGCAGTTGTTGTTGCGCCAATCTTTTGGTTGTAGCTTAGGGCGCCATGCGAGCATGGCGATCGTGGGGTAGGCTACCCACGGACTGAGTTTCTCTCGTTTGCAGAGCTCGTCCGACAAAAGTTGGAAAACAAACAAGGACTGCGTGACAGTGGGCCGTTGCACGGTGGAGGGGGGGATGGGGGGGGGAGGGGGGGAGGAGGGGGCGGATGGGGGGGATGGGGGGGAAAATGATGATATGACAGGGGAAGAGGAGGAGGAGGAGGCGGAGGAGGGGGTGGAGGAGGATGATAAGAAGGAGGAGGAGGAGGAGGGGGAGGGAGGAGGGGATCGAGGAGGAGGAGGAGTAGGGCGAAACGGCGGATGATGACGAGGAGGGGGGGAGGAAGGAGGGGGAGGAAGAGGAGGTGGATGAGGAGGAGGATGAGGAGGATGAGGCGGATGAGAATTAGCAAAACGCTTTGTCATGTCGAAGGCGTTGGTTTTCAGTACTTTGGCCTGTCGCTTTCAGGAAAGGCTCTCGGGCCAAGTCGCCGTCGCGCCGATTCCCATGTCATCTGAGCGTTTTTCCTGCCTTGCACTTCGTTTGTGAAAAAAACAGTCGCTGGGGTTCTCGCGTCTCGCGTTTTGGGTCCAGGACTCCTAAGGCGCACGGGGGCACGTCAACCATGCATGATAGTAGGTCCAGGCCTCTGGTGGTCCACGTTACGACTGAATCACGACGTCGGGAGTACGGGGGGAAGCAGGAGGAGGAGGAGGAGGAGGAGGAGGAGGAGGAGGAGGAGAAGGAATTCATGTCTGCCCTACGCAGGAAGGAGGACCCAAGTCTGCCCAACGGAAAAAGGAGGAGGAGCAGAAATGCAAACACAAATATACACTTCTCGACTTGCGCGTGCCATCCTTTCGCAGGGGCCATGCTAATCGTCTCTGCATCGCCTCAATGAAACATTTGATCGTTATTGGTACGCTCGAGAAGTCGTTCTTGGTACGCTGGAGGAGGAAGAGGAGGAGGAGGAAGAGGAGGAAGAGGAGAAGGAGGAGGAGCTGGAGGCGGAGGAGAAGGAGGAGGAGGAGGACTGGGGTGTTTGCATGTATCTGAGCATCCAGGGAGGCCTCCAGGGGCATCCGGGTACCTTCGGCGGTGGGTGGGGCTCAAGGGAACTCCTGCGGTCCGTGGAGATCTCCAGGTACACGCCCCCCGCGCTGATGGTCAACAGCATGCGGAGCCTGGAGGTCTGGGGGGAGTCCAGCTGAACACCAGCGGTCACCAGCAGCAGCGATCCTAGCCAGGCCTCGGCATAGCTCAGCATCGTTCTCGACTGGCCACCTATCCCCATCCCCGGTGGGCCAGGGTTGTTTGGCCCCGCCAGCCTACCGACTGCACCCTCGGGGTGGTTGTGGATGCCGCGAACCCCGAAGGAGACGGCATCGATCCCAACTTCTTGGGGCAGATCAGACAGCGGTGCACAGGCCTTCCTTGCTGGGCGGGGCTAGAACGAGGAGAAATCCGTTCTACGGCGTTCCAAAACGCGCTCAGAGCGTTCCAGAAACGCTCTGAGAAGGCCGCGGCGCCCGAAACACCCTCCAGAGCCGCCGGCTCTCAGACATTCTCGATTTATCCTCACCCGATGTTGTCCGCGTCCTGGCTTCGTCTTCGGCATGGGAGTAGGTCTAACGATGCTGAGGGCCAATCCTGGTTTCTCGGCCGGTGTGCTTTCGTTCTCTTGACGTCTGGGGTCGACTACACGTAAGAGTGACCTTTGGCCAAAGTGATTTTTGTTTCGGGCTCATCGAGGTCCCCCCGATTGCTGAGCGCGATGCGATACCAGCTGATTGCGCGCTTGGGTTTGGCCACCTTGCGCCCCCTCAGTCCGCGCACTGAAGGTCTCTCGTTCCCTATAGTGCGCGTAGCGAGTGCCAGTCTAGGACCCCAGGGCAATCAGGCATGGAGCCGCGGCGAGAAGTTGCCCTGTGATCGAGAGCCCTGGACTCCGGGACCCGCAGATCAGAGGAGGAAGAGGTACACGTCGGTCGTTGAAAGTAGATATTTTTGGAATGCCACATCCCAGTCTTCTTTAGCCGCCTTCCTACTTCAAGGGTCGAGTGTTGTCCCCTCTTCCCTACTCTTCAGGGGGCGGGCGGAAGCCCAATCTACTTCCAATGCCTTCCTACTTCATGTTTCTACGCACTTCTTCCGACCGACGGGTACCCATACCGCAACGGTTGCCTCGGTTCCCCCTTTTGGGGCCTTCTGGAAGGCCCCTGTCGCCATCGTTGGATTCGCCTCGAAGTCCTGGTCTGAACGTACTCCGGGAGCGGTCCCGGGAGTAGCGGCATCGGTATTTTTTGTTGACGGCGCGCCAAGGGGGGTAGGGGGAGGGGGAAGGCTTCTCAGAAGCACCCCTGCTTCTTGGAAGGTGCGGACCTTCTCTGCAGATGCAGGGCCGGCGCCTTCTGAGAAGCAGCCTCCCTGTAAGAGGCCCCCCCCCCCCCTCCCCTCGCCCCCTGCTGCGCGCCGCCAATTTTGCTTCCCTGGCAGATGTCGGGGGCAACGATCGGGGGGGGGGGGTAGGCATAGGGGGGGGGGAGGCATCGGCCCGCAACCGCCCACGGATCGCCGATCGGGGCGCCCGATAGCCCCGGCCCGCCCAGGGAGGTGCGGATTCGCCATCGGGGGCCTGTCGCCGATCTGTCGGCGATGCATCGCGGACTCCAGGTCGATGCATCCCCTCCCTATGCCCATCCCCCCTCCTATCGTCGCCCCTCAAGACGGACAGGATCAAGCCATCGGAAGCTCCGGCCATGCCGTGCCAGGAGAGACCGATCCGGCGCCCACGACTGGGCCCAGCCAGGAGGTCGGTGCGGCAGGTTCGCGCCGCGTCGGCGCAGCGGCGACCTCAGCGCGGGCCTGCGAGGAACGCCGCCAGTGCCCCGGAGCCGGCAGAGATGGAACGCCCTGCGCCATTGGAAAGCCGCGAACGCTCAACGCAGTCGGGGCGCTGAAGGAGGGGCCCTGCTTGTTGGGGAGGGGTTCAGTGTTTCTTAAGTGGTTTCTACTTTGTCGTAGGTGTTTTTCAGGCTTTCGATGGGACATCGAAGTTCAACTTATGAAAAAAGGGTCTCGTTCCTTATCGCTCCTTAGGTCAACGCCCCGACTGTACTCAACGATCCACGAAGTGTCAGAAAGCAGCGACCGCACGGGTACGACGTGAAGCAGCCGTGTCGGTGTGCAGCTGGGGCCCGACAATGGACAGGAAAGAAGCATGTGCATTAAACCTCAGGAGGTCATTCGTTTCGGTCCCCCCCTGTTTTTCTCGACGGGGAATATCCATGACCCCCCGATAATAAATCATCCCCCCGCCCTTCCCCGTTGACAGTTCACTATTGCCGGTCAGTGCAGATTTGGTCGGGGGTGAGGAGCGGCAAGGCCGAACTTTAGTATCGCGTATCGCGGTGGAAAGTTGCGAATCGAAATCGCTACCTTATTATGTTGACTAGCAACATCATCAAGCTTTAGGTGCCAGATCTCGAGAAGCGCCAAGGACCATCAGAGCGAGGATCCCGAGGAGCGCCCAGGATCATCATCATAATCACCATCATCATCGTCGTCACCATAATCTCCGGGACAACGTTTACTATCCCCCCCTGGACCCCGAACTTTATTATCCCCAGGGGGTTAATCTCAGGGGCATGCGGTTACTCGTCCCTGCTCCTCCTCCTCCTCCTCCTATTCCCCCTCTCCCCCTCCTCATCCTTCTCCTCCTGCTTCTCCTCCTCGTCCTCCTCCTGCTCCTCCTCGTCTTATTCCTGCCCCGAGGGTCGGGGCCTGGCTCCAGTTCTCGTGGCGTCAGCCTCGCACACTTCTTGGGCCACGCCATCAGAGTCGACTGCATGCGGCGTTTGGGGGCAGCTACACCAGCTCGCTCTTATTGGACCAGCCAGTTGGCAGTTCGCTCGTGGCAGCGGCGCTAGCCACGCTCCGTGACCCGGAGAGGGATACCGGGCACCGGGCCTCGGGGACTGCGCAGTTGGTTGGGAGGCGGGGCCACGTGGCTCGTAGGTCCCACGGTGACGTTGTGCCCGCTCACCGGGGGAGCGGACCCAGTTGCGCATGCCAGTTGATTAATCAACTGGCATGTGGTTGATCATCGGGAAGCGCCTCTCAGCGACGAGGTGAACCGACCGTCCCCCTGCGCACCACGCCCTCTCGGCTGGAAAATAAGTCGCTGGGCGACGAGGGAGCGGCCTATCTCCTATCCTCTGTTCGTCGGTGCGCGCGCCTTCGGGCCCGCTTCGTCCCGTAAGGGGGAGGCCGGGTGTGCCGGTTGCCTGCCATTGCGGCCCGCCGGCGTGCGGTGTGCACCGCCCACGTCGTGGATCCATGACCCCAGGACTCCATATTTCTTCGTCCCATAGATAAGGAGGATCAGGACGAGGAAGAGGAAGGAAAGAGGAGGAGGAGGAGGAAGAGGAGGAGGAGGAGGAGGAAGAAGCAACACGAGGAAATGAGGCGGCGGGTGACGCGGGTAAATAGTTATTTTCCAACACTGGTGGAGCCCCAGTCCGTCAATAAGGTCGCCGGGAACATAATCGGTTTGCAAGTATTGGGGGTTCTAAAGACCTATCGAGGTTAACGTACATATTTGTTCGGAGGACTGCTTGGAATTTTCGGATCGTCGCTGGGCTGCCTCTCTGGTGCGCGCTGCGCGACAGGGGCGGCGCCAGGCAAGGACAGGGACGATTCAAGAAATCCGTGCGGACCTCCTAGAGCGTCTCCGAGGCGGGGATGCGCCTATTATTGCCGCAGGGGGGATGGGTCGTCGGGGATCCCAGCAGGCGGTGGATACCTGCATATCGATCGATATGCATCGATGCATTGCTTACATATGCTGTACATATGCAAATACATATCTACATGCATGCACGTACGTTTGTATATATGTTGCGCATGCATATGTTATCATTAGACATTTATGTGTTGATGGGTATGTGTATGAGTATACATATAGTTACACACGTATGCATTCTAGCATACAGTATTATTATTATTATATATATATATAGATGTGCATGTACATACATAGGTACATATGTATTATCATCTTCCCCAAGGCCAAAGTATATCCACACCCATCGCCCCTTGGGTTCCCAGAGCTCCGGCTCCCAAGGCGGCGGATATGTTCACATCCCCGACTCGCCCGATGCTTTTCGGTTTCTTGCTGTCCTCCGCACGGAAGGGGGAGCCGGCGGTGCCGCCGTCGCCCTCCGTCTTGTGGCCGGCCACGCCCAGCCCCATGGCCGCCGCCGCGGCGCGCGCCACCGCCGTGCAGGCGTTCCACATGCCCATGGCGGTAGACGTCCCGTCCGCGCCCGCGCCGGCGGTGCCTGGGGCGCTGGCGGCTTTTCAGGCACACGACGGCCCAAAACGTCGCTTCAAGACGGCCCCGGAAGCCCCAAGAGGGCCCCAAGACGGCCCCAGAGGCCCCAAGGGGGCCTGTTCAGGCCAGCTGGGGCTACTCGGGGGGCCTGTGCAGGCCAGCCGGGGCTACCTTGGGAGCCTGGTAAGGCCAGCTTGGGCTGCTCGGGCGGCCTGTTGAGGCCAGCGGAGACCACCTGGGGGGGAGGACTGTCTGCTCGCAGCCCGGAGCCTTACTAACTAGGCCTGGACCAAGATGTCGCAGGCTCTAATCGGCGCCGATCTCGGTCATGGTCTATGTCGGCCGTCGCCGATTCGCGAGGATGATCCACGAGTTGAAATTGACCAGGATCGACACTGACGTTTCCGCGTTCGGTCTTCGTCATGGTCGCCTTGTCTTATCTTGCCTTCTAGAATGCCCCCAGAGCGTTCCGGCCGCCCTCGGCGCCCGTTACATTTTCGGAGGAGAGAAGGTGTACCGATGCCGACGGCGATGCCGTCGTCTCGGAGGCATTTCCCTCAGATATGGGCGGCGCATCTTCTGCTCACCATAAGTGTTTGCAATGTGTTGGGGCCCCAGGCCCTCACAGATCTTCACGTCCCGAGAAATGCCGCAGATGTATGGTGTCTGATAGAGCCCTGGTCTTGATTCCCCTCGATGCTGCATTTCTTTCGCGTCGTCAGACCCAAGGGGGCGACGAGGTCGTCGTTCCAAAAGTATGTCAGTTCATCTGGAGGGTCTCGTCGCCACGGCTGCACGCAGCTCAACAAAAACTGGTTGGGATGGGGCCCGACAGGGTTTTGGCGTGTGCTGTGGCCTGGGCAACAGGTCTTACCTACACTGATGCCCTTCTCTCGGCGATGCTCTTCGGGGCCCGCTGGGGAGGAAGGCCCTCCGCCGCCACGGCGGCATCCGCCTCGGAGCCCTGCTCCGAGCGCAACACTGGGCAGTGCCGAGAAGCGGCGGCGTCCCCTCCTCCTCCTCCTCCTCCTCCTCCTCCTCCTCCTCCTCCTCCTTCCTCCTCCTCCTCCCTCCTCCTGCTCCTCCTCCTCCTCCTCCTCCTCCTCTTCCTCCTCCTCCTCCTGAACGTTACTCCCAGCAGGACGGGGCCGCGTTCTTCGTGCCCTTCGTGGAGGCGACGCAGCAGCTCGCCCAAGCCCCCGCCGGGAGCTGCGCGCCGGCTGGCCCCGAGCAGCCCTTCTTCATGGCCCAGGGCCAGGTTCGGGGAGATGTAATTGAGACCATCGGAAATACAATAACCCCTAGCCTACCCTAATAGCACAATGGAGACGTAGCTCAACATAGATCGGTCCCCGTTTTTTTGCATTAGGGATAATCTGGGTAGTTTGCTTTGACACATCTGCTAAAAGGACCTCCGATCCCTCCTGTTCTGGGCCTCTTAACTCAGGTCCGCTCCAGAAGGTTGGGGGGTAAGTTGATTGCTAATCGTCGAACTAGGGTTTACTGAAAACCCGGGTGTGCCGCCGCAATTGTTGGCGCTCCCCGCACGGATTGTGACGGTCCAGTGTTTGTGAGATGATGGCAGCGAGAGTCCGCGCCCAATTTGAGATCGAGTCCCGTCCTCCTTCTGACGGCCCCGTCGTGCAAGTTCGAGCCCCTCAAATTCGACCCTTACCCGGAGATCCGACGTCATGAAACAAATACATCATCGTGAAACATCACGACCAGAGCTCTAGACTCCATCTTCCTCCGGTAGTTTCCAGACCGATTTGTGATGGGCGCAGGGCCCGAACTTGGCCGAAAACGCCCAGTGCCAAAACGGACGCAACGCCCGGATCTCAGGTTACTGCACGTCTCCCCGACAAGTGAGAGACGACAGAAACGGGGCCGATTGCGCTGGCATTTGCGCGTAAGCTGCCCGCGCAAGCGCCCCCCCCGTCTCCAGTGTGGTATGCCGCGCTGGCGGCCCACGTAAGCCACCGCGTAAAGTCGCTGTGGCATCTCGCGTAAGACTCGTTTTTAGGCGGACGAACCATGCCATAAACATCAGACTCGGAGGTCCGCGCGGATTTCTCGGATCGGCGCTGGATTCCCCTCCCTGGCGCGCGGAGCGCGCCAGGGGCGGCGCCGGAGGCGCCGCCAAGGGGGTCCAGGGCCGATCCGAGAAATCCGCGCGGCCCTCCGAGCTTTTCTGTTCCTGCCACTGCTCGTCCCCCTAGTTTTGAGTTTTGGATCGTCGCCCAGGTTCGGGGGAGCGTAAGACCCGGGTTTGCCGGGACTCGGGTTCGCCATCGTTTTTTGACGACCGCGCCTCGGATTTTGACGAGGAGGAGTTTCGCGGGATGTCTGCAGCGGGAGGCCTCGTCAAAATGCAGCCTCGGCCTCGTCATTTTTTTCACGACCTCGTCGGGGATTTCCGAGTCCCCCGTACCCGGGTCTTACGTCTCCCCGACAGGTGGGGGTTCAGATGCCGGCGCCCATCTGGCAGTTCGCCCCGCCCCCGCCGCCGCCCGCGGAGCCTGCGCCCGGGTACCTGCCGGCCGCGGCGGACTGCGCTCAGGGCCAGGGTGACGCGGGGGCGGCCCGCGCTGCGGAGCCGGCGCGGGAGGTCAGAGCCCCGAATCATCAGGGGTAACTCGGGTCAGGGATAACTCGGGTTCGTTTTTCGGGAATCCAGACCCGAGTTACCCCGGACCCGAGTTACCCCGGATAACTCGGGCGTCCAGAGCCCCGAATCATCAGGGGTAACTCGGGTCAGGGATAACTCGGGTTCCTTTTTCGGGAATCCAAACCCGAGTTACCCCGGACCCGAGTTACCCCGGATAACTCGGGCGCCCAAGGAGGCGCCCAAGTGGCACCTGGAGGTCCAGATCCACAGGGGAGGCATCTGTGCAGACCGCCGTCGAGGCATGACAAATCGCAGCGGAGGTGTTTGTTCGCTATTTTCGGTTTCTGTGACTCCCCTGCCAAACGTCAGAACCGTCGAGAAAAACAGTTCAAAATGAGCAACCGGTCTGGGAGAATGGGTCGAGATCCCTGTGGCTGTCGCTAAGAAAAAGCGCAACGTTGGGGGGCCTAGGTGTGCAGAACCCTCCCTGAGATCTGGGCGCTGCAGTTCTTTCACGCCTAGCTTGTCCGCAGCAGGGCCATCACAGATCGATTCGGCCCAGAAAGCGCTGCAAAAGAATTGGGCCCAGGGCTCACGTAGTGGTTTCTTCGGTGTTGCAGTGTTTGCCGTGGCGTCGGATCTCAGGGTCTATACAGGCCCCCCTGGCCTCGGCCTCCTGGCCCCAAGACGGTGGTGTATAGGTGGCGCGGTGGTGGTGTGTAGTTGCCTTCTGCGTGCTTGAAGGACAAAGAACCACACAAGCATTCGAGTAGGAGATTCGTCTCCAGAACTGTTTGAGTTGCTTTGAACTTGGTTTTCCTGTTGGATCTACGAAAGGATGCTTAGTTTTCCGTAGGTCCACGGAGCAATCTGTTCATTTGTGTTATTTTTTGTAGAGAATGTTATCGGAGTGAATCAACATTATGTAGTCGATATCCTACTCGAAATGTGCGCAAACTGTTGGAGCTCCCCGCGGATCTCACGAAACTTAGACCGTCAAAATCCATCCTGGAATCCTCAAAACACGGAGCGAGATCCGACTCTCCGGCAAATTCGAGACTCGAGTCTCATTCGGAGGAGGGCCAGTTGAGATAACGGCGGCGGAGATAACGGCTTTCCCGCCTGGCCCAAACCCATTCAAATTAGGTCCCCGGATCCCTCCCGGGGTCCATCCTGATTTGCTCGTCGAGGCTGGTTCAACCGTTACGACGAGAAGCCACCAGGAAGTTAATAAAGGACGACTAACGCCAGGAAGCGCCACCGTTGTCTCGACTGGCCCTCCTCGAATTTTGCTCGGACCTCCGAAAGCTGCGTTTTCTTAGATTTCTTCATCTGCGATCATGCTCTCTCTCTCTCTCTTTTTTCTCTCTCTCTCTCTCTCTCTCTTTTTTCTCTCTCTCTCTCTCTCTCTCTCTCTTCTCTCTCTATCTGGAGAAGAGGATGCGCAGGAGGAGGAGGAGGAGGACCATCGAGGAGCGAGGATCAGGAAGAGGAGGAAGCGGAGACGGAGGAGAAGAGGGTTAGAGGTGAAGGGGAGGGGAGAGGCGAAGAGGGACAGGAGGAGGACGATGACGACGACGATGCTATTGGACTGCCAATGCGTGTGCCGAGATGAGAGGAAGCGTCAGTGGGGGACTGGCCCGGGGCGAGAACCATTGAGGTGGGATCGGCGATACAAGGCCAATAGATCAGCGATAGGCCCCCGATAGCGAATCCGCACGTTCACAGGCGGGGCAGGCTTTTGGGCCGCTATTGGCGGTGAATGGGCGAGGAAGGGTCGATGCGCCCCCCCCTTCAGCCCACCTCTCCATAGCGTTGCCCCCTGGCCTTTGGGTCATAACTCGGCTCTCCGGCTGCCGTTCGGGACGACCTCGGCACATCCGGAACGCTTTCGGCGAGGCGCAGTCGTTGGAAGGCACCCCGAGGACCGAGGCTGGGAAGCCGACGAAAACGTTCGAAAGCTAAGAAATTCTAAGCCTTTCGTCCCGCTGACGTTGCCCCTGGCCAGGGGTCAAGCATCGATCCATGAACCTCTCCATTAATCGTCGATTCCCCAGAAAATATGGGAAAATATGGGAAGTGGGGGGGAAGACAAAAACCCAAAAAATATGGAAAAATATGGGGAATATGTTTATGTGTGTGTGTATTTATTTGTGTGTCCCAGGGCCCCTTCATAGAAGTTCGAGGCGGATCCAGCCGTGGCCACGAGGGTGCCCCAGGATGATTGTGCACCTCCAGAAGAGCAAACCTCGATCCTCCAATACATCATCAGGCACTGGCTGACAGATATCACGCTTCCGTCTATGCATGAATATTCGTGTGCTTCTGTTCGTGCTTCTCGTATTCATCCCTCTTCCTTCAGCTCTGCTGCCGAGCAAAACAAACCGCGACTCGAAGCGGGCTGCATCGGGCACGGAGTTTTTAATCTAATGGGGGTCTTTTGTTTCAATCTCACCGAGCGCGTTCTGCTACTCGTGAAGTGCCTACTCGTAAACGTCCGAGCAAAACCAGGTCTTGCTAGAGGCGATGGATCGCAGATTCGCCGCGGCGGCTCCAGGCCATTTGCGAGCAATTACCTTGCGAGTAGTGGAGCGCGCTTGTCTGGGGTCCAACCGCTCCAACGATCGGGAGCGGTCAAGATAGAGGGTGATGACTAGGGGGGGGTGGACATCATGGCGGGGACCATGATATCTCCCCAGATTTCATGGCGCCTCTTCTCATTTCAATACGTCCCTGGCCCCCCCCGCTGGGCCGCGCACGTGCCGCCGGCCACGATTCTGCGCCCCCCCCTCTCCTGGACGCCCCCCTCTCTTGGCCGCCCCCGCAGCGAGGACCTCCCAGCGCTGCTCGAGCGCTGCCCCCGCGGACCCCAGATCACCCCAGGGACTCCCGGGAGGCGCCCAGGGGAGGCGCCCAGAGGAGGCGCCCAGGGGAGGCGCCCAGGGGAGGCACTTCGAGGATCGAGCATCGCAGGATCGACCCCCCCCCTCCCGACGAGGTCGCCGCGCTGCTGCCGCAGCCGGGCGCGGGCCGCGAGGCGCCGGGCCGCGAGGCGCAGGGCGGCGTGCGGCCCGCGCCCGCGCCGTCCGCGGGCGCCGCCCTGCACGGCACGCAGGAGAGCCGGGGGGCCACGGCAGGCCAGGAGGCAGGTCCTGGGAGGTATCGGTATCGGCTTTCCAGCTCCGTAGCTCGCCTGCAGCTCGAATTCCATAGGAAAGCCAGCATCACCTCTCAGAACTGGGAGCCAGCAGTAGACCAGCAACCAGATGACAGCCGGGACCCTCGTAGAGCTCTTTCCACGCGCTGCTCAGAACAGAAGGAGGAAGATTTCTTCAGCATTAGCTTGAAAACTCGAAGAACACATGCTTTTTAGGTTTGAATCCGAAATCGGCTCCTCCACGTCTTTTGATAATGATAAGGCTTCTACAGACCTGGCAATTGTTTCAGACAGACGCGCTGGTATTATGATGCTCTAACCTACTTTAACCTTGATCACCAGAAATAATTTCGAGCGCCGGAACAAGTACCGAGACTCAAGGGTTTTCACGTGTCGGGCCCTGGGAGGCACTCGCCCGACACCGGTCTCGACACTGTTTCGATACTCTTTTGACACTTTTCCGGGTGCTCGAAATTATTTCTTGGATTTGGTCCTTAAGTAGGATAGGAACAACATAACGCTGGTATTGGAGAGGCCTGACGGCCGGTGCCGCCGACCCTGATCGACGACGTGGACGAGTTCGAGGGAGGAGCAAGGGCTCCCTCGAGGGCGCGAAGTTATTCGCGCTTCGCGCTTCGCGGTCCTCGTTCCTTCTCCCCCTCCTCCTCGTCCTCCTTTTCTCCCTTTGGGGGGCGGCGCGAGAGCGCGAAGTTATTCGCGCTTCGCGCTTCGCGCAGCGCGAAGCGCGAAGTTGGGAGCCCTTGTGTATCGGCGCTGGCACCATCGCGGTCGATCATCGGCTGAACCTCGATGAATTTTGTTTGGATCCCGTCGAATCCTGCTTACACCGTCTTAGTCCTAGACTCGATCCTGCCAAATCCGGCCAAGTGTCCCGTTCATCGGGCTTCCCAGGAGATGCCTCCTAAGAAATTCCAGCGAAGATTTCCCAGGAGTTGCCTCCTAAGGCAGTGGCATTTGGTAAGTTCATGGAACCGCATCGACCTTGGTGCTGACTTGGGGTCTGAGGTGGCCCAGCAATGGTATTGGCAAGCTGGAAGGGTGTTCGATGTTCGAGGTTCTGGATTGGAGGAGGTGGTTCCCACCCGACAGGTTGGGGCTGTTAGATTTCAAGGACAGGCCCCCCCGGCCAACCACACCCTACATACCGCGGCCGCCAGACCCCAAGTTGTCCCGAGAATCCCGAGTATCCCGGTTGTCCCGCCTCGCGCCCGGCCAACCCCACCCTGCATACCGCGGCCGCCAGACCCCAAGTTGCCCCGAGAATCCCGAGTAAACCGGGTGTCTAGCCTCGTGCCCGGCCAACCCCGCTTTGCATACCGCGGCCGCCAGACCTCAACTTGTCCCGCTGCTCCTGCCTGGCACACTCGACTAACACGGCAGAACACAATATAACACATGACCTAACATATCATAACACATTTTAACACGCCATCCCATCATAGCATAACACAGCATCACAGAACATGTCATACCACGACAGCAGAACAGAGCGACAACGAACATGACATAGCAGAGCATGACACAACATAACATGATATAACATAATACAAACATGACATAACGTGACAGAACATAGCAATGTCTTGACAACACATATCGTTTCATAGCATTACATAAAATACCATGGCATAACATGGCATACCATAGGACGACGTGACAACACACTCTAACATAACCGAACAACACATAACACGCCTTGACATACCATATCATTCATTACACGCCATCACAGAGCATCTCATAACCCGACACCAGAGCAGAGCGACACATATTAGAAGAACATTTTATACTATATCATTATACAGAGCCGAGCCGTCAACACACAGTGCATCACATAACATACCAGAGCAGAACATGGCAGACCAGACGACTACACACCACACTACAAGAGAACACACCCCTAGCACACCTTGACCCTTGACAGCACATATCATGTCATTCCAATGGTATCGCAGAACACATCAGAGCACGACAGCAGAGCATAGCGACGACGAACACGGCAGAGCACAACATGACACAGCATAGCATGACATACCAGAACACGAGCATGGCAGAACACAGCAGAACATAGCATATCAATGCAACGACAAAACGGAGCATAGCATAACATCGCAGAACAGACCAGAGCAAACCATGACATAACAGACGACGGCATAACACAACATGATAGAACATAACCGAGCATGGCATGACACACCTTTACATATCACAACATATCATGACACAACATCGCATAACACATCAGGAACCTACAGCAGAGCATAGCGACACATACTAGCACAGCACATCATAATATATTACGCAGAGCCGAGTCGTCAACAAACATAACATCACATAACATACCAGAGCATAATAATCCATAACATAAGACGGCATAGCACAACACAACATAACACAACCGATCATAACATAACACACCTTGATAATAATAGTAAGTCGAGCTGTGATCAGCATCACGGAACATAGTGTACTATATTGAGTTGGCTTGCCAACAGCATTACGGTACATATCATATTGTACGCGTATCATGTCATAGCATAGTGCCATAGAGCAGACCATGCCATACCATCTCAAATCATATGGTGACAGAGATGCGCATAACATAACATGTGCAAGCATAATACACAAATATAAGTGAAGATGAGCATACCACACGACGCATCTAACGGCACAGGCCTTACGACGTCACGCCGTCCCGTCGAAAACACAACAGGACAGTTTTCACAGAACATGAAAGAACGTGGCTACATGGAACACGGTTGAACCGTTGTTTTGAATCCAGAAACGGTAGTTGTCGACCAATTAGGCAACCGCGCGCCGTTGGGAACAAACGCTTCAGGTTTCGGTGGGCACCGCTCGAAGCAAAATAATTTGCTTGTTTCATTCTTCGGGACTCCGCTTTTTGGCCCGGACCCGTCAAAAACGGATTCTGAGTGGAACTTGCACCAGGTAGACACCAGGAGGGTTTTGGGGACCGATGATTAGCGCATGTACCTCCATCCGCCCGTCTTGACAGATTTTCCGCGAGCCCAGCCACTCAGAACCTCGGGCCGCCCCCCGGCATCGACACCGAATCGCCCGATGGCCCACCCAGCCCAGGTTGGCACAGCTTGGCTATCGGGGGCCTGCCGCCGATCTTTCTGCGATGTTCAGGAGGGGAAAAAACACACAGACACAATTAATCGGCGATTCCCAGGAAAATATAAGAAAATATGGGAAGTGGGGGGGAAGACAAAAACCCAGAAAATATGGTAAAATATGGGGGATCATTTTATTTGTGTGTATTTATTTGTGTGTCCCAGTTCCCCTTCAGATGTATCGCCGATTCAACCTCGACGTTGTCCCCCCCCCCCGAGCCGCCCCCCTCCTACCGCGCCTTCTCAGGAGTGCAGACCCTGCGCGTGGTACTACAAGCCCAAGGCCACGAGACATGGGCGACGAGCGCGTCTCAGAGGAGGAACAGACACCGGTACCGCTGCCACTCCCTCGATCGGGCTTTTTTGGGCCTCCTTGGAGGCCCTCATCGTCATAGTAATCGAGATCATCACCATCAGCATCATCATACTTATACTCATCACCATCACCACCACCACCACCATCGCCACAATAATCATCAGCACCACCATCATCATCATCATCACCATCATCACATTCTCGACCAGCACCCTCATCATCATCACCATCATCATCATCATCATCATCATCATCATCATCATCACCATCACCATCACCGTCATCGTCATCGTCAACATCATCATCGTCATCGTCAAGCACATCAACACCACCATCATCACCAGATGCAGCATCAGCAGCACCACCAGCATCGTCATCTCCATCATTGCTATTAGCATCATCAGCATTACTATCATCAGCGGCAACACTATCATCATACAAATCATCGCCACCACCATCAGTATCACACTCATCAGTATCATCATCATCATCAACATCATCATCGTCATCCTCATCAGCTTCTTCATTGGCATTCTCAGAATCATCACCATCATCAGCACCAGCATCATAGCATCATCACCACCACCACGACCACCACCGTCACCATCATCGTCATCATCATTACCACCATGATGATCATCATCACACCCGTCATCAATACCGAACTTACCACCATCATTATTAGCATCATCAGCATCATCCTCATCATGTTCATCTTCATCTTCATCTTCATCACCACCACCAATATCATCAGGATCGTGATCATCATCAGCATCAGCATCATCATCACCATCATCACCATCATCACCATACTTTGCATTATCCTTGAATTCTTTGTCGGCACGCATCCCCGAGGTCCAGAGAGCAGCGGTATCTGTATCTTTTGGCTTCCCCAAATTCGGGCGACGGCCGGTCGAGCTTGCGGTGGCCCTCTCCAAGAGTCCGGTTCGCCCATTTCGGGGCCTCGAGGAAGAGGAGGAGGAGGAGGAGGAGGAGGAGGAGGAGGAGGAGAAGCGAGGAGGAGCGAGGAGGAGCGAGGAGGAGCGAGGAGGGAGGAGCTGGAGGAGGAAGAGGAGGAAGGAGGAAAGGAGGAGGAGGAGGAGGAGGAGGAGGAGGAGGAGGAGGAGGAGGAGGAGGGGGAGAGCCGTCTCGTCGCCACGGCTCTGAGTCGCCTCGCAAACATCGGGCCAGGGTACGCGGGGCACCGAAACTGTGTCCATGCCTCACAGATTCGCGGCCCAAGTGAGGGGGCATGGCGCGAGGGGAACGGCCTTCTAAGAGGGGAGGGGGGGGTGCTTCTTGGAGTGTGGAGGGCTCCCCAGGAGCCTTGAGGGTTTCTACGAGGCCGGGTTTCTTGGAGCCCCTTGCCGTCGTGGAAGCCCTCCAGGCTTTGATAAGGAGGTTTCTCGCCACCCACCAAAACACTCCAACCCAACCCGAAGGCCCCAATTTGCCCTCCATTCCCAGTGGGGGGAGTGCGTCGGGGAACACGGGCAACAAAAACGCATGGGTAACCCGCACCCCGCTCCCAACCCGAAAGTTTGGTCTTCGGGTTGGGCTGGGGGAGGGGTGGTAGGTAGTGAGATAAGGAGGTTGCGGGGAGATGGGTGCAGCTTTCCGCTTGTCACAAGCCTCGCCTCGGATCGGGAAAGCTTCATGTCGCCAACATCGCAGAGCGGATTTCGTTCGGAAAACGATGGGATTGGCCCGAATCGTCCTGGAGAACTTCGTTCTGAATTTCGGAGTGAGTTTCGTGCGGATCTTTTGGCCAGGAAGGAAGACTACAAAACATCCCTCTGAGATTCACTCCGCTTTGCGCTCGCCGCTTTGGGAATCCGCTGCAAAGTCGGTACAGTCGGCCTGGATCAGTAGGCTGACCCGGCCGGATCAACCTTCGTGTCCTGTGCCTTGCGATCCGTGCCTCCTTCAAGGGCTCCCTCGAGGGCGCGAAGTTATTCGCGCTTCGCGGTCCTCGTTCCTTCTCCCCCTCCTCCTCGTCCTCCTATTCTCCCTTTGGGAGGGCGGCGCGAGAGCGCGAAGTTATTCGCGCTTCGCGCTTCGCGAAGCGCGAAGCGCGAAGTTGGGAGCCCTAGTGCACTCCTGTGGCAACGTGGCCCTCGGAAGGGTCTTCTGTCCTCTCGCGTGTCCTCTCCAATCAAGTCCGACTGTACCTCGGCGGCGCCACAAGGGGGCGGGGGGGGGCTTCCCTGGGAGCGGGGGGGAAGCGGGGGAGGCGACGCGAGGAGGAGCGGCTGGAGGACGGGAGAGCGAAGAGAAGAGGAGGAGAGGCCAGGGGGAGGCCAGGAGGAGAGGCCGACTGTTCACTGACTGGCCTGCACCTTCCCCCGCGGTTCGCCGAGCTCTCGCGCGGTGGCCGCCCCCCGGGGCGCCTCGTGGGCGCCCCGGGCGCTGGCTGGCAGTTCCATCTCTTCTCGCGCGGTGAATCTCCGTGGGCTCCTCCCCTGCAGGGCTCACTCGGTTCCTCCGCGCCGATTCGGTCCGATTTTGATCGCTTCCCATTCCGATTCGATTCGCATTCCGGTGCGGCCTCCGATTTCTCAAGGGAGGCCCGCTCCAGCCTGCCGATGTCCGCCGATTCGACCCCTCCCGACTCGGCCGTCGATTTCCGCCGATCCGATTCGTTTCGATCGCCGATCCGACTTATCGAGTCGATCTTTATCCGATCAGATCGCAGATTGATCAATCCCACTTAGAGGGATCACCGTTTGCCTTGCATTTGTTAGCGTTCCATCCGGAGAGGTGCCAGTCGCGCACTCTTCCGCCCACGCGTCTTGCCGGATGCATGGCCCAGTGGTTGTGGTGGCGGTGGCTCTCCTGGCTGGCATTGCCATCTTGCCGCGCGGTGGTTTCCGATGGGGCTCCTCCCCTGCGCCTCGTGCAGCGAGCCGCGTCTCAGGGCGTGTGCGCGTGGTGCTCGCTCCTCGTGGGCTGCCACACCGCGCAGCCTGCACGCTCTCGTGCAGCGCACGGCGCGCTGCTGCACCGCCCACCACGGCGCCACGCGCGTTGCGCCACAGAGCTTGCGCCGCATAACCGTGGGAACGCTTGCTCGACTCGGTGACCACATGTGCACCCTAATTTCCACCCTCGGTATCGTCACCCCCCCCTCTCCGGCGAAAGTATAACGCTCCAGCACCCTGGAAGCGTTTAACCTGGCACCTCGCAACCTGCTTTGAACGCAGACGAGTCTGCCCGCCGAAACAAGGAAACCGCCTGAAACATTCTCGCAATTTGGCCTCCGTGTGGTTCTGAAACAAGCGCCTCGCCTGAGACATCCTCAGAAACTGCTCTGAACGCAGACGAGACTGCTGTGGGGGAGTCCCATGGAAACACGAATATCTAGGAATCCTACAGAATCCCACCGGGATGCCCGAGCCAAGGCGCGAGAATTATTCAATTTTCTTTCTTTTGCGCGGTGCTAAAGATATCGTTCCGCGAAAACCGCCCCCAGAAATTATTTCATTACGGTGCGGTGTTAACGATAACCCCCCCGTAATGGGGAAAATCGGCCAGTGGGGCCCAGGCCACGCCGTTGGGGATTGGCATCGGTGAAACGATATTCACACACCCCACGATTTCTGAGGGAGGGTGGGGATGGGGCTCACATGTGATCGTCTATCGATCCCCCCCCTCGCTTTTTCGGCGGACGCACATCATTGTCCGCAAATGGAGCTGCTGTTCCGCCCCCAGAGCCCTCAGTTGCGGGATTCTTGCCGGTTTCCCGCCGACTCTTCAAGGACGCGTGGGGATTCCTGATGATTCCCTGAGGTCCCTGAAGGATTTCGGAAGGATTCTTGTGGACTCCTTGGGGTCCCAGAGGATCTCTGGAGTCTCCTGAAGATTCGAAGATGGTTCCTGAAGGATTTCTGTGGGCCCCTGAAAGGTTCCCGAAGATTCCTGTAGGATCCCCGAAGGATTTGTCGGTTTCTCACCTGGATGACCATAGGACTCCAGCATGTCAGTCAGGGGGCGTTCCGGAGCGGCGCGCGCGGTCTCGCGGTGCTCTGCACCCCGTCGTTGTTTTGGCATCGCTCGGACGTGTGCATTTCTCCTTCGGCGAGGACCATCGAGGAGCATCCTTGATCATTTGGCGGAAAATCCAGATGCCCAGTTGTAATGACATGGAAGAAGGGGACAGGGCCCCGATCGGATTCCAATGCTAGCACAGGGGCGTTGCCACATGATCCCAGTAATACCCCAGTCGGTTTCAATCGGATTCTGAGAACGGGCACAGAGGATCCCAGATCCCTTCCGGACTCCACCATGGGACTCTGCCTCAGGAGTCCTTCATTGGGGTCCCCCTCGAAATGCAAAACAGACCTCCCTCCATCCGCATGGCTGGTGCAAGCAGTTCAGGTTCAGCTCTCACGAACTAACGTCTAACCACGCGGTGTCTCGAGCGAGAGCCGCAGTTTGTAAAGGACCCGCCCTCCGTTCTTGTCTTATTCCTTTTGCGAACTAACTCGTACCACTGTTGCTCAGACTAGATCTCTACTGCCCAGAAGAGGGGGACAGGGAACACATTTCAGGTGTTAATATCGCCTGCTTTAGGGGGGGGGCGTTATTCATGGGACTGGAGTGCCCCTCGCGACCGCAGGGAAACCCTTTCGAGGTCCAGAGGGGTGCAAAATGGATCAGCCTGGTTGGCGCAGGGATCGCACATGGAAACGATCTTGTCTTATATCATCTACAGTCTAGTCAGTTAAACTTCCCCACACGTTTGCTCAGATCAGATTCTTCTCCACCTGCCCAGAAGGACGAGTGCGGGCCGATTTCGGAGTACGTGTGCTAAATAACGAGGGCGGTGCGGGGGGGGATATTTCCCGTCGTGACCTACGTCTCCCATGAGCAGGGACATTGTCATGTGTGATCAGGAGCTGCACATCGAATCAACATCGGGGGAGGTTTGGCGTTGCGTTGGGATATGATCAGGGAGGGTGCGTTGCATTGCACCATTTTCTGAAGACTCGAAGATTCCTGAGGCTGTCTGAGGATTCTGGGGACTTCTGAAGAATTCCCCAGCACTTCTGAGGATTCCTGAGGATTCCTGGGAATTCCTGGGCCGCCCGGGGCAACGGTGGGCGACATCAGTTCGCAAGCGTTTGTAGTATGTCCTGCCCCTTTTCCCCGTGCACTCGTGCATCCTGCTGGCCTGTTTCGTTCGGTGTTGCCCAGGCGGGGGCCAGGGCTACAATCAGTCAGTCTTCAGGACACGAAAGGCTTCCGGATTGTTTGTGAGGACTGTTGAAGGATTCTACACGGATCTTGAAACATTCCTTTTGGGGATTCCTGAAGCATTCTGTAAAAATCTTAGAACGGCTCCTCGTCTAATTTTGAGCGAGCCGTGGGGTGTCTTAGGACCCCTGGCGATTCTTCTGGATTCCCGTATGTTTCCTGACAGGGTCCTCGGGAGCCCCACAGATGTGCTACCGATTCCTGGGTTCTTAAAGTTCGTTCAAGGATTCTTGAACGATTCCTGTGGATTCCTGGAGTTCTTAAGAACTCTTGAAATTGTTGGAGGATTCCAAGATGATTCCTGAAGGGTTCGTAAGGATTCCTGCGGGTCCCTCGGAAATCCTTGAAGATTGCAGGATCCCAGCAGGATTTGCCGGACTCCCATACTAGGATCCCACCAAGACCATAATAGGGTTGGTGGGGATTCCTGAGGACTCCTCAATGTCCGTCAAGCGTATTAAAAGGATAATAGTGGGTTCCTTGGGGTTGAAGTTTCCGGAGGAATCCAAGATGATTCCTGAATGATTTATCGTTGTTGTGTGGGTCCGTGAAAGATCCTCGCAGGATTCCTGAATGATTGTAAAGGATTCTTGAGGCATTATCAGAAATCTTTGTTCTCCCTCCCCCACAAGCTGATTCATTAATTGGCGTGCTAGCGATATCGGTCGGTGGTCCCCGCCCACCCAGGATTTAAGGGTTAATTTGTGGTGTTGCGGATAACGTAGGGGGGATAATGAGTTTCCCTGGGGAGGTTGCACTTTTCAGCTTCGCAGCGCGTAGATTACACCCCCAGCTTGCAAAGCACAGCGAGTGCACACCGAGAGTGCAATACCGTATTTGTTTGGGTCCACATGGCTCAGATTGGCATCTATGTGTTCGCTCAGACTTGCAGCATGCATTCTTTCTTGTAATATGAAATGTCGCTTCCCCATGCGTGCGATCTACATAAGTTTGTCCTGATGGTTGTCCCCCGATAGTAGTCCCGATGGTAGTTTGACTGATTGATTGTGATCGATAGAAAGATAATTAAGCATAGGTTCAAAGATGGGTCGTGAAGGCGATAGATCGATTGTGCGATCGATATGCTGGTGTTGGGCTATCTCTCTTCAGCTTCACATAGTTATGCAAAGTGAGCTTGGCATACGCATATATAGTGGGGTCGATATGTAGAGGTTGCTCGATACTTGTGTACATGTATATATATATATATATATATATATATATATATATCAATGTGACACGTGTATTTCTAAACATCTAGACGTGAATACAGTAGGCTGCAGTTACTAAGGCCGACATGTATTGCGAACTGGTAAGGCCGATCTCTAGGTATACCAATATACAAGTTGTTCGATGGTTTGAGGCGTCCGTCTCGAAGGCTGTCCCGTCGGTGACTCCATCCCCCGGCCTGCGTATCGACCTTTGGCCGGTCTTTCTTTACCGATATCGTTTTCATATTATGAGTTGATATATTCATGTCTCTCTCTCTATATATATATCTATCCCCTTCTCTCGTTCTATCTCCCTTTCAACCTCCCTCTCTCTCTCGTTATCAGTGTCTCTCTGCGCATTCGGAACACATGTCAGTTTGCATGCTCCGTCGGACAACCACATGACAACACACAGGGCAAGGTACAGAGCAACCCACGGGACAACCACAGGACAACCCACAGGATGATTCACGTGATTATCCAGGGGACAACCCACGGGACAATTCTCTGGACTCCTACGGGACAACAACGCGGTCATTCACAAGATAGTCTACGGGACGATCTCTGGGACAACCCCCAGGATAACACATGTGACAATTTGCGGGACAATCCACGGGACATTCCACGGCCAACCCGCAGGACAACCCACGGGACAACCATCAGACAACCATGGGACAACCCAAGTGACCCCCATGGGACAACGTACAGGACAACAACGGGACAGCACACGGGACAGTCCACGGGCAATTGCGAAGACATTTCAGGACGACCCCCCGCGGGCAACCCGCGCGGCCGAGGCACAGAGGACATTCTTGTCCGATTTGGCTGCAGCTCCGCCGACGCGCCGTCGCCATCGCGCAGCTCAGCCTTGGGCGCGCGCCCGACCCGACCCGACACCTGAACCGATCTCCCGGTTGGGATCACTTCTCAGAGGAGGAGAAGGTATCCATACTTCTACCCTTCCCTGGTTCTCCCCTTTTTGGGCCTCCTGGGCGGCCCTCGTCGCCACCGCCGGATTCGCGTCGAAATCCTGGTCAGAACGCACCCCGGGAGAGGTCCAGAGAGTAGTGGTATCGGTACTTTGTGACATCCCCAACTTCATTCTCATGCCCTAATCTCCGATCCACGCCATCGCGTTTTGGGCATACAGTTGCGATCGCATGGATGCGCTCTGCGCGAGGCGTTCATTCGCGCCAATCGGCGGCGCAGCGTACTTCTATCCACAGGGTTGCTAACGAGGAGTCCGAGCTGCGGTAGTCTGAATATTGAGATGCCCGTCGCTCGTGTCAAGGGGTGTAACATGGGCAAGGACTGTGCCTTCTGCCACCTCTGCCCAGAGGTCGAAGACCAAAAACTGGATGAACATACCATTTCGTAGGTCCGAGCAGGTTGCTTTGGTCGGCGCTGGACCCCAGCTGAGATCTGGGCGTTGCATTTTTTTCACACCCGGCGTTCTCGCCTTGTTCGGGGCCTTCGGACCCTCACAGATTGATCCGGCTCCAAACATGTAGCCGAAAGAATGGCTCGAGAGCTCCGGTCGCGATTTTTCAGAATCTTGCGTTCTCTTGCCACGTTGGATCTCAGGGCCTCTCCACGCCGCCCGCGGCAAGTTCCGCGCGCGGACGAAGGGGTGCGGGACGGGGTTTCAGCGCCGACCCAAGAAATCCGCTCGGACCTTCGAAAGTCTATGTACATCTAGTTTTCGGTCCGTCGAGAGGGGGAGATGAAGATCCGCAAGAAGGCGAAGGTGTCGGCAATTCGCCGGACGTTCCACACGGGTGGAGACCGTTAGAAGTTCCATGAACATGTGCCAGGCGAATACGTCATTGATTTGGGCCGCCGTTGTGGGGTCGCATGGGATCGCGGTAGCGTTAGGAGGCGGCAGCGCCATGCATGCAGCAGGTCTTACCATTTACAGCGCCGCCCCGGCCGACAGAAGGGCGGCCGGGCGGCGCCCGAAGTCTTGGGAGAGGCAAAGGTGCCGATGCCGTAGCCCTTGCCTCGTTTTCGCCTTTTCGGGCCTCCTGGGTTACTTTCCATTGCTTGCCAAAATCACACCAACCCAACCCGTTTTAATTTCAGGTCGGGGGGTGCATGGGTTCCATCGTGTCTCTTTACTGCACTGGAGTACCCCCCACCAGAAATTGACGAGCCCAACAGTGACTTCGGGTTGGGTTGAGGTGGTTTGGCAGGTAGTCAACTTTGCATCTTCGGGGGGCTCCGACGTGCGTTCGACGGGGATTATATAGCAGTACATGTCCGCGCCGCCGCGCGGATCTCTTGGGTCGGCGGTGGGCAGTTTTCTGTTCAGCTGCCAGTCCTGTCAGATTTCTGCTCTTGCAGTTTGCTGCCTCCTGAGAGGATCTCGTCGCCACGGCTGGATTCGCCTCGAAGTTTTGGCCAGAGCGCTCCCCCGGAGAGGTCCAGGGAGTAGCGGCATGGGTGCCTTGTTTTGGACCCGAACATCGGGTCGGGCGAAAGGGGGGGATTGGGAAAGGGAGGGTTACGAAATCTGCTACATGCAGCTGGTTTCGGCCTCACCGAGGGGCCCATTCCTTGATACATAGCTCCATCCGGCGCCGGGAGGCGCCGGGAAAATCAGCTACGTGAGCTGATTCTCAAACCCCCCCTTTGCTATCCCCCCCTTTCGCCCGACCCGAGAACAGCGCAGTCTTTGTATCTCCGCGAGGCGCGGCGGGCCAGAAGAGCCCTCCAACGCGCCTCCTCCCCGCCCGCACCCCGAGGCCGCCTCGGCCTTCGGGTTCGGACCGCCGTCGCGGAGCAGCCCGCCGAACCACGTGCTCGTTGTCTTACTCGTTGTCTTGCCGATCGGAGCGGGCCCTCGCCCCCCTCCCTTCGAGGGCGATTTTTCTCCCCCAATCCCCGAGCTTCGCCCGAAAAGTTTGGCCGCTCCGAAAAATGGGAAAACCCTGGGATACGCCCCAAGAGGGCTATTCGGACGCACCCGCATCGAGGATGGACGCCCCCCCCTCGTATATCCCAGTGTTGGGCCCCAAATTGTTGATCCTCTCGAAAACCTCACGGAGCCCGGGATAGGGGTCGACGCATCCCCTGTTACTTCTGCACGAACGAAATGAGCACGGAAAGAATGGGCACAATGCCCAAGAGCGGATCTTGTTCATCTTGAACAGGACTCGCTGTCCACGCCGCCGCGGCCTGTGTTCGTTCGAGACAGAAGGCCGCCTGCCCAACAGCGGCCGCTGTTGGTTTGGGACAACATGTGTTGCAGGGCATTGTACCCACTCTTTCCGTACCCATTTCGGGCGTCCAATTTCCCCCCCCCAGGAGCAGAGCTCGGCTGTCTTTGGCGCCTGTTTCACGCAGGTGGAGCCTCCCCCACGAGGGGACGCGCAACTGCAAACAGCCGCACTGAGCAGAGGTCCGGAGCCAGACCCCCTCCAGCCCCTCCCCCCCTTTCCGCCGAATATCGGAACGCCGATTAAGAAAGCCCTCACCGCTTTGCGTCCGAAGGGGGCAGGGGGCACAGTTGAGGGGGGATGCACTCGGGGGGGATGCGTCTCCTCGATATGTTTCATATACTACACCCTCGCAGCCCCAGTCAGGCTCCACCGCCTCGGCCTACGTGCAGTCTGCAAGAGCCACGCCCCAGGAAGGGAAGCTTGTATGGTGGACGACAATCAACGAAGAGGGAGCATGTTGCCGAGTAGTTTCCAGATCTCTGAATGTTTGAACAAGCACATGTCTTGAGCATGTAAAGCAAGTTTTATTCCTTCTTGGGATATGTGTCCTACATGTTAAACGCCGCTTAAACAACAGCCAATGATCGGATTAATAGGTTGCCCACTGTCATGACTCGGAAGCTGGGCGAAGGCTGCTAAAACCGTGGCTGCTAAAACGGCCCTCCCGGAAGGAAAAAACAACTTCCCGGAATGCGGCGTGGCACGCGAAACAATCAAGGGGCCTCTTCCCGGAAGGACGGAGACAACTTCCCGGAGGTCGATTTTAGCAGCCACGGATTTAGCAGCCCTTGCCCGGCTTCCGAATGACATCCACAGAGCTGGTATTAGGGACCCGCGGCCAGGGCCCTCGCTCACCCCCAGGGCGTTTGGGTGCAGTGTGCAGCGTTCTCGGGCGGAGCATCGGCCCCCCATCGCCAAAAATGACGGGGCCCTGGGACACACAAATAAATATACACAAATACAAGGATTCCCCCAGATTTTCCTATGTTTTCTGGGCTGTGGTTTTTTCCCCCCCCCCCCCCCACACTTTCCATATTTTCCCCTATTTTTGGGGGGGGTCGACGATGAATTGTGTCTGTGTGTTTTTGTTCCCCTCCTGGAAGCGGGGGCCCGACGGCCTGCCCCTCCAGGAGCGTGAGGGTTCGCCATCGGGGGGCCGTCGCCGAGCTGTCGGCGATGGCCTCGCCGATTCCAGCTCGATGCTTCCCTCCCTGAGCTGGTCTCCCCCATACACCTTAGGCGATGCTTAAGAAAACTTAAGTTTTCGGCCAGAGTCTCAATTATTCTCAATGTTTCAATCTTAACCCTACGACTTTAATCGGTTTTAATTCAAGTTCTGAGACTATGAATTTCTTAACCCATGATTTCTTAAGCATTTCGCAGGGTGTACAGCCAAGACGCTGAAATAATGCAGGAATCCAGAGACCCCCAGCAGGTTTACTGACAGAGATCATGCCAGTGCTGGTATGGCCCAAGGCAAGCATCCGAAGAAGAGATCTCGCCATGGTAGCGGAGCCGTGGTCCCGACCCTCCCAGTCCACAGGGTCGGGCTCCGCGGCTCCGCGGCTCCCCCATACAGCCAAGACGCCGAAATAAGGAGCACAGTTTGGATCCGGAAGGGGCTCGCCGTTCCTCACGTCCTTCCGTGGTTGTTCCTCTAGGCTCGCCGATTCCAGCTCGATGCTTCCCTCCCTGAGCTGGTCTCACCCATACAGCCAAGACGCTGAAATAAGGAGCAGTTTGGATTCGGAAGGGGCTCGCCGTTCCTCACGTCCTTCCGTGGTTGTTCCTCTAGCCCTTCTGGTGCACCCGGGTTTTTTTGGAGCCGCAGAGGGGCTTCGTTCCTTATTTCGCGTTCCTTATTTCAGCAGCCCGGCTGTAACGTTACTCCTCAGAGAGGTGTGAGGCGGAGGCGGAACTGGTGGGCCAGTCTGCCGTGGAGATTCGGGGGCGGATGAGGGAGACGGGAGGTGGAGGGAGGGAGGAAACGATATTCATACGGCCGAGTACCCTCTTCCCTCGTCGCCACGGCTGGATTCGCCTCGACATTCTGGTTAGAACACCCCTCAGTAGAGGTCCAGGGAGTCTGTGGTCTTGGTACCTCCTTGCCCCCCCCCAGGGAGGAGGGAGGATAGCTGAGGGAGGAAGAGGAGGAGCGATGAACGAAGAGGAGGAGGAGGAGGAGGAGGAGGAGGAGGAGGAGGAGGAGGAGGAGGAGGAGCCTCCTGGAGGTGCGCGGCGGTTGTGGTAGGGGGCGGTGGGTTGGTGCCTCCTGCGCGCATGGGACGCTGCGGCCGCTTCTGGTCCGTGCACTGGCGCGGCACACGTGGCGATGTTCAGTTGTAGAGTTCGGTTGGCCAGTTCAAGGCGACGGCGAAACACGTGCATAAACATCGGTTTTTGACGGTCCGGGGTCCAGCAGAGATCCAAGAATTCGTGCGGCTGTCCGAGGCAGCGCAGATCCAAGCAATCCGCGCGGACCCTCGAAAGTTTCTGTTCATGCCTCTTCTTCTCCTCTGTCAGAGCGCGCCCCGAGCCCCAGGCTCAAGTCGCCAAGATCTTCGGTCCCCGACGGGCGGGACGGGCGGGGGGCCTTCCAGGCGGCCGAGCGGGTGGACCCCAACAGGTGGCTCGGGTCGGCGGGACTTGCGAGTGGGCAGGTCCGGGTCGGGCGGGCGGGCCCTGACTGGCGGGTCGAGCGGCCCCGGTCTTGCTGGGGCACGCCTGCAGAACACCCTGGCGAGCCAGGGGTTGGCGGCGGGCGGCGCAGCTGTTTGCAAGTGAAGTTCTGCGCCGGGAGCCCAAGAAGGACGTGCGCGCCCGGGCGCGTGGACTACTATTCTTCAACCGGTCCCTATCCCCATCCCCGTCCCGATCCCGACCATCCAACCACCCCAGTTGGGGGATCTACCCCTCGAAACTCGAAGGGGACAGCCTACGTTCCCTTCTAGGGGAGCAAATCGTCCAGTGGGGCCTAGGCCACGCCCGTGGGGATAGGGAACGGTTGAGCGATGCTCCGTAGAGGAGCAGGCCCCCCCCCTCTAGGCCGCGTGGGCGCTCTCTTGTGCCGCGAACGCCCGCGCAGCGCAGGGGTTCGAGCCGAGCGGCGTTTTGGCGATACCGTGTGCCGTTCTCGTGCTGACCTCGCTTTGCAGCAAAGTCGGAACGAAGGCTCAGAGGAGGAAAAGGTATCCGTACTTCTACCCTTCCCTCGTTCTCCCCTTTTTGGGCTTCCTGGGCGGCCCTCGTCGCCGACGCTGGATGCGCCTCGAAATGCTGGTCAAAATAGTTAAACAATCGTCTGGGGACTAGTTCTTCTCTGATGTTTGGACTATTTTTGAATTTTGTGAGTATTTGAATATTTTCGCCCAAAACCCGCCTGTAGGGGGACATGCCCGGCCTAAGGGTAGCGGTATCGGTATTTGCTGGTTTCCCAAAGTCGGAACGAAGGCAGAAACATGGGAAGCAACCGCATCACGAACGGGGAAACCGCCGTTCAGGTCGAGCCCTGGCGCAACGCGTTGTCTCGAGACGGAGGAGGAGGAGGAGGAGGAGGAGGAGGAGGAGGAGGAGGAGGAGGATGAGGAGGAGGAGGAGGAGGGGGGGAGGAGAAGGAGGAGGAGGAGGAGGAGGAGGAGGAGGAGGAGGAAGAGGAGGAGGAGGAGGAGGAGGAGGAGAAGGAGGAGGAGGAGGAGGAGGAGGAGGAGGACAGGTGCAAATTCGGGTGCGCACGCGTCTCTTCTTCGCTCCCGGCCAGTGCCTCCTGGAGCCCGCTGGCGCTAAATCGCGTCCTGCTGGCTCCGGCGAGTCCGTCCGAGCGTAGGCCCGCCGTCGGCCCGGTCACGCCTAGGGCCGCTGACCGACGTCTGCGGATAGGGGGGGCGGCGGGCGGCGGCGACGACGGCGACGCCGAGGAGGACGACGGCGACGGCGACGGCGACGACGACGACGACGCAGACGCCGACGGGTGTCGGGTCGGGCGAAAGGGGGGGATTGGGAAAGGGGGGGTTACGAAATTTGCTGCATGCAGCTGGTTTCGGCCTCACCGAGGGGCCCATTCCTCGATACATAGCCGCCTCCGGCGCCGGGAGGCGCCGGGAAAATCAGCTACGTTAGCTGATTCTCAAACCCCCCCTTTGCTATCCCCCCCTTTCGCCCGACCCGAGGGTGGGGCGACCCGCTCCTCGCTCGCCGTTGCTCGCCCGGGCGGGGGGGGGAGCGGGGAAATGGCGAGGGAGGAGGGGCGGGAAAGGGAGTGGGCGGCAGGGGGAAAGGACGGGGTGGAGCGATGGAGGAGAGAGGGATGAGGTCGGACGACCACGACAGACGACGATGGCGACGGCCGACGGAAAACGGACAGCAGACGCAGAGCGGGAAAGGGTACCCATACCACTGCCCTTCCCTCGTTTTCGCCTTTTGGGGCCTCTTGGGAGGCCTTCGCGGCCACGGCTGGATTCGTCCCGAAGTGCTGTTCAGAACGCACTCTCGGAGGTCAGGGGAGTACCGGTATCGGTAACTGTTTACGCTTCACGAATCCCCGCCAACCCACTCAAAAGCCCTGCCCACGAGAGTTGACGGGAAATGGAAAGCAGAGACGCACAATGAGGAACGTGTTGAGCCATGTTGGAGGCTATTTTGGAGCATCGGAGGCATTCTTGGAGCTACGTATAGGGGCTTTGGGTGGGCGTCTTGGGATCCTCTTGGGGCTCTGTTGGGGCATCTTGTGGCCCTCTTGGGGCTCTTTGGGGGTCTTGGGGTCCTCTTCGGGCTCTTTTGGGGCATCTTGGGGTCCTCCTGGGGCCCCTCTTGGGGCCCTCTTGGGGCTCTCCTGGGGCTCTCCTGGGAGCTTCGAGGGGCCTCCTGGGGCCATCTTGGAGGCCATCGATCAAAAGGAGGGGATCCTTCATCTCGGTCCTCATAAGGGCCCTCGAAATCGCCTATGGGGGCCGTCATGGGGCGCTCTTGAGGGCGATCTTGGGCGCTCTTAGGGGCCGTCTTGGGGGCCTCTGGGGCCCCGCTCGGAGCTCTCTTGGGCCATATTGGGGCCATCTTGAGGCTTCAAGAGCGCATTGGAAGCGAAGAGGCGAGAAGGCCAAACTCCCGCAGGTTTTTGACGCATGTGGGCTTCTCGGGGAGGTTCTGTTGGAGGCGTGCTGTTAGCTATCTTGAGCCATGTTGGGCTATCTTGGTGGAGGCCATCTTGGGCTCTCTGGGGCCCTCTTGGAGCCATCTTGGGCCAAAAAGGACCCTCTCACACCTCGCGACCCCCCCCCGTCCAGGTCAAGGGGGGGTAGGGGTAGGGGTCAAGACACCTAACCGCCCGCGAGCCGTCTAGCTCACTCGCACCCGCCCTCCCTACACATAAGTAACACCCGAGCATGAGGATGTTCATCGGTCGTTTTTAGATGGACAGCTGCTGGGAACCAAAGCAGACCCCAGGTGCGCGACGTTTGGGCGAGGTGCGCCACGCGTGCCAGGGACGCCACGCGCGCCAGGCACCCCTGGGGCCCGAGCGTGCCAGGCACGCTTGGTGCGCCAGATGCGCCACGTGCTCCGAGTGCGCCAGGTGTGCCGAACACTCCAGCCGCGCCAGGTGCGCCACGTTCGGGGCACGTGCAGAGTGCGTCAGGTGCGCCTGCGCACTTGACAGCACGCATCGGGAAACCTGTCGGCCCCCGCCATCCTTGCCGAAAACCAATGTTCATCATTGTGTCTGCTGGGCCTGCGCACAGCAGGCCACGCGCCACCACCCCCGCCGTCCCGATCAAAAACCACCTGACAGTGATCGCGGGATGGCCGCGCATGATCCAGATTTAGCCGCGAGGTGCATGTTGTATTATTTTTCGTCAGGGATCTGCTGACACCCCCCACGTCCTTGTCAAAATCAATGCGAAGTGCTCGCGGGCCTCACGAACATGATTCAAGACTTTGCCCCAAAGTGTACTTTGCATTGTTTTTTTGACAGGGATGGTGGGGGGGCCGCATCGGGTTGTCCGCGCATGCTCCAAATGTGCAGGCAGAGTGAGTTTTGTATTGCTTTTTGACAGGGGTGATGGGGGGCGGGTGGTCATGGAGTCGGCATGGTTCCGGGTTGGCTCCCGGTCGCCTGGGAGAGGGTTGTGAAACTATTTGTTTGAGGCAATGGGAGGCCCACCTGAGCGACATCCCACGCAGGGCCAAACAGGACTTCGTTCCCGTTTGTGCGCAACGTGTCGCTTTTACCTGGAGGTCACGCGCGGTCCACCGGAGTGGCAACATCCTACGCACACCCCCACGTGACCTCGTCGCCTTGGGCGCTACCCATTCCACACCTGGAGCTGATTCCGTGACGTTCTGCGCAGACCCGCACACGTGAGTTCGCTTCCTTCGGTGTTGCCAGCTGCGCAACTGCAGCTGCCTCCGTGAGGTCATGGGAGGCACAGCGGAGCGACGTCCTACGCAGACCCGTGTGCGACTCCGCCTTTCTCGGTGTTTCCAAGTGCGCAAATGCCGCAGCTTCCGTGAGGTCCTGGGAAATACAGAGAGCGACGTCGTACGCATATTCAAATGCGACTTCGCCTTCCTGGATATTGCTAACTCTCGAATTGTCGCGTCTTTCTTGAGTTTCCGTAGGTCCAACGGAACGACGCCGAGGCTACTGGGACCTTGCTTTGCTGGGTGCATCCCTTGGGCTTTGGGCCTTCGCCCAAGGGGTTCTGGGCATTCTCTCTCACGGTAGTTGTTCGAATGTACAGGGTCCAGTTCGATCCGATCGATGCGATTCGATATCGATTGCGCAGGCCTCACGGCCGGTGCCGCCGACCCTGAAGGTGGAGGACGGCGGCGGCGACGACGACACTGACGCTCTGGAGCCCTTCTTGGGGCCCTCTTTCGAGCCTCTGAGACTTTTGACCCCTGTTGGGGGGTCTCTTGGAGGACTTATTGCGAAGCTCCCTGGTCACTTGGATCTGCCTTGGAGCGGATCTGAGGCTTCTTGGAGGCATGTAGGACATGCACAATACCTTGCAACAGTTGATGAGAGTGAGGAGGGTGACTCTGGGGGGGGTCCCGGGGGAGGGGCGGGAGGTCGTACCCTTGTCCACAGGAGGAGCAGGGGGGAGCTCCTCCCGTGCCCCTCATCCAAAGGGGGAGGGGGGGGCGAGCGTCCGAAGTCCGCCCTGTCCACATGGGGGACCGGGGGGGAGGAGGCGGGGGAGGGCTTCAGTTCTCAGAGGGGTGCCCCCCCCCCTTTGTCCCCCGGTCCACAGGGGGGGCCAGTGGGAGGGGGAAGGGATCAAAGGGGAGGGGCTTTCTTTCGACTGAGCTGCGTTGCTCCTCGATTTCCTTGTAGTCTGCGGTTGCTGAGGAGGGCCCTGAGTAGCGGTGGGAGCGGCATTACCGCTCCCACCGCGTCGTCGTCGCCGTTGAACGGCGACGACGACGACGACGGGTCCAATGGAATATCGTATTCCATATGCCGACAGGGTCGGCAGAGTTCGGCCAGCCCGATCCGACTCGTTTCCGATGCTCCGACGATCCGTTGCGGCCCCATGTTTGTGTGTCGCTGTTGTGCATTTGGAGCAGCCGCTACGTCTCGAGTTCGATTCCGTGCCGATTCAGCATGATCCGACGCACATCTCGGCACGATCCGATTTCCCGATTCGCTGCTGACTGATCCTGGGCCCTGGAAACGACAAGGCCGTTTTCTTACCAGTTCCGTTTCGCCGTTGTTTGCCGGTGTTGGCTCCGTTTTTTGTTCGGTTCCGTCGCCTTTGTGTTGCCGGTTTTGATTCCAGTTCCGGAGC